GCCCTGCTTGACAAGGAGCAGATTTCTAGTCCGAGGAACGAAAGCTGCTGACTTGGTGTTAATAGACTTTTCTGGGTAAAGCCTGAATGTGTGACAGAACCTGAGACAGCTGATCTAATGTTTGCTCCTTGGAGCTTGCGATCAGAGCCCAGTCTTCTAAATATGCTAACAGACGGACCCCCCTTTCCCTGAGGGGAGTCAACGCAGCTTCTACGCACTTTGAAAAGGTGCAAGGAGCTAGCGATAAACCGAACGGTAGTACCAGGTACTCGTAGGCTACACCCTCGAAGGCGAACCTGAGATATTTTCTGTGCTCCTGGTGAATCGCTATGTGAAAATAGGCGTCTGTTAAATTGATGGTCGCAAACCAATCGCCCAGGCTGATCGAGTGAATTAGCTGTTTGAGCGTTAACATTTTGAACCTGTATGTTTGAAGTACCGGTTTAACGCTCTCAGATCCAAAATAGGCCGCTGGCCGCCCCATTTCTACGGAACAAGAAAATAACGGCTGTACAGACCTTTTTGTTTTTCTGCAGCTGGAACCACTCGAATAGCTCTTTTTGTTAGCAATGTGCAAATTTCCTCTCTTAAAATGGCGGCTGCCTCGTTTGTCACCACTGTGTTTACAATGGCCTGAAAGCGAGGCGGCCTGACGCGGAACTGCAGCCAGAGAGGGAGTCGCGTTGCTAAGTGACTGACTTGCCTTACTGTTGGAGACGTGTCGCTGCTGCCCTTCACTGGATGGGGAAGGGACAACATTATTGACTGTCGCCCGCAGCTTATTGTGTTCGTTTGTGCACAAAGATAATTCTTTAATGACACATTGAAAACATTTGCAGAATTCTTTATTAAAGTTTTGCATTTTAAAACACAATTTGCACCCAAGGAGGGGGCTACATGTTTTTTGTTTATTTTTCAGGACATTAACAGAGGAGACTGAACATTTGAAACATGACGCCTCTTGGGGCCGTTTTCTGAAACACAAATATTTAAATGTCTTTTCAACTGCAGCTGAACATTGTCTCTCTGTTTTTGAAGTCCCTGTGAAGACAGTCCTGCTGTTAGGAGGACTTTGACTTCTTCTTCCGAGCCGCTGAACTGTCCTGCTGACTCGGAGGGGGGCCTTTGCTCCATGCCGATTGACGGGGAGGCTGCGGCTTGCTGGAAGGTTTGGCGGGCTGGGCCTTTGAAGTCCCGGGCGTCGCCGCCTTCTTGAATGGAGGAGGATGAGACGCAGACCTGGATGTGCTCGGAGCCTTGGGCCTCGCGTCGCGTCTGGGATGATACAGCGAAGTGCCTCAGCCTGCTTCTTCCTCTGTTCAAATTTGGTTTGGATGACGTCAAGCTCTTGACCAAACAGTCCTGTAGGCGTTATCAGTTCATCCAAGTAGGCCGCCCTGTCCTTGTCGGGAACATCTGAGAGCGTTAGCCACAGGTGCCTCTGCGTCACCAC